TATTTTTGTATTAATATATTTATAAACATCCATAATTCATTAAATAGATAATGTACAGATAATGTCAGGTACAAGTCAATACAGTTTGAGTCATCTAAGTACTGGGGAGAGAAGGCTCCATTTATGATGGAAATTATTTCTTTTATTATTTTTTGCTGATATATGTTTTTCCAGAATATTTCTTTTAGAGTTTTTATATAGAAAGTTAGATTTGGAAGCATAGTTTTAATACTGCATAAGTGAATATGTCTCTTTGCAGCAATGATGATGTGATTTAGTAATCTATTTTCATGTTGAGTACCAAACCAAATCATGTTTTTTTATAATTTCAATGGATGTGGATAATAATTGTTAAGCCAAATTTGTAGGTTTATCCAAAATGTTTGAGTCTCCTGACATTCCCAGTACACATGACACACTCTCATTTACATCTATGCAAAAACAACACAAACTGTTGTCAATTTTTTTTCATTTTGACCAATTCCTTTTTTGTGTAAATAATACCTTGTAGAAATCTATATTGAAAGTCTATAAGCTTTGTATCTTGCAATCCCTTTCTATATACTGTAAATATATTTTTCCAATCAAAGTCAGTTTCAGGAAATAAAAGCTGCCATTTATTACAAATGTTTGGATATTTATCATAACAAATAAGTTTATCGTAAAAAGTTCTGCAGCCTTTGGATGCTTTTACTAAATGTATCTGGCATTGGTTAACATTCAAATTACTGACTGGAATAGAGAGACAGTGCTTTAAAGTATATTTCCAAGTTTCAATATGTTCAGTAAATATCTGAAATCTAAAAAGTGCCTTTGATATGATAATTTTCTTTTAAAGATTCTATTGATAGTAATCCATTCTCATCAAATATATGACGATACGATAGTTGTATCAAACTTAAATGTATCGTGATGCATCGATACATCGGTGAATCGACCCAGCCCTATGTGTGACAGTGCAGGTAATTCGCAGTATCATTGCAAAGGGAAAGCGAATATCAACGAGGCGGTAACGAGTCATAGGAAGTGAAGATAACGCAAAATATTCTCGTGAAGGTGATCTCATTGTTAAGGTGACGACTACTAGTGAGGTGAAGGTAACGGACATCATCAAGGCGAAGGGGGGACGTCTTTAACTAGTTAGATAGTCAAAGGCATCATAAGAATGGATAGGAGGGTCAGGGTTTAAACGGATCAGTATTTCCATGTCAAGTGTCGATGTTCATATCTCCTACACCATGCCATCATCCCCATCCAGGCCTACTACCTATGCCTCAGTGCATCATATTTGGAAACACGACGTGAAATGGCGTTAAGCGGACGTGGCAATCACGCCTAAGAGTGTCATTACTCACGCCTGGCTGTCACAGACCTCACGGATAGTTGATATTGCCTCCATGTGCTCACCAGACAATCTGAACGATCAAGTCTCCGACTCGACTCACGCTTGCTCTAACGCCATGTTCCTGAATGATCACAACGTCAATCAACTAAGCTTATCAATTCGGACTTTGTAGAAGAGAAATTTGATATTAAGCGACGTGGTGAAAAATGCAACGAGCGTGACAGTGATTCATTTCCCAAAATCTGGCCTCAACAAATTAATTATTTGTTCTTTGGGATATTCGGGTTGTATTTTACTGATTGTTTGATCACTGTTTGTGGAATCCAAAGCTTAGAGTAATATTATTCTTGTACATTATGTATTTTCGGGGTTAGATTACGACAGGTAAGACAAAGAGTTCAATAAAATTTAAAGTTGATTTCAAGTAACGTTCATTAGTGAATATCCTTATATTGTTAGATGATACCTAGACCTACGCATAAGAGTATCCAAGCAATGATGGAGACTGAAATAAACCTCAGTAAACCAAGGACCACTGTGTGACAGGGTGTGAGGTGGTATAACATGAGGTTAGGTGGTATAACAGGATGTGAGGTGGTATAACATGAGGGAGGTGGTATAACATGAGGTTAGGTGGTATAACATGAGGGGAGGTGGTATAACATGAGGGAGGTGGTATAACATGGGGGGAGGTGGTATAACATGAGGAGGTGAGGTGGTATAAGATGAGGTGATGTGGTATAACATGAGATTAGGTGGTATACCATGAGGTGAGGTGGTATAACATGAGGGGAGGTGGTATAACATGAGGTGAGGTGGTATAACATGAGGTGAGGGGAGGTGGTATAACATGAGGTGAGGTGATATAACATGAGGTGAGGTGGTATAACATGAGGTGAGGGTGTGTGGTATAACATGAGGTGAAATGGTGTGGTATAACATGAGGGGAGGTGGTATAACATGAGATTAGGTGGTATACCATGAGGTGAGGTGAGGTGGTATAACATGAGGTGAGGTGGTATAACATGAGATTAGGTGGTATAACATGAGGTGAGGTGGTATAACATGAGATGAGGTGGTATAACATGAGGTGAGGTGGTATAACATGATGAGGTGGTATAACATGAGGGAGGTGGTATAACATGAGGTGAGGTGAGATGGCAACATGAGGTGAGGTGGTATAACATGAGGTGAGGTGGTATAACATGAGGTGGTATAACATGAGGTGAGGTGGTATAACATGAGGTGACATGATGGTGTGGTATAACATGAGGGGAGGTGGTATAACATGAGGGGAGGTGGTATAGGTGGTATAACATGAGGGAGGTGGTATAACATGAGGTGAGGTGGTATAACATGAGGTGAGGAGGTGTGGTATAACATCGAGGTGAGGTGGTATAACATGAGGTGAGGTGGTATAACATGAGGTGAGGTGGTATAACATGAGGTGAGGTGGTATAACATGAGGGGAGGTGGTATAACATGAGATGAGGTGGTATAACATGAGGGGAGGTGGTATAACATGAGGTGAGGTGGTATAACATGAGGTGAGGTGGTATAACATGAGGTGAGGTGGTATAACATGAGGTGAGGTGGTATTACAATCAAGATTATCGTTACGTGTCGGTAAAAAAATTGAAACAAGAAATTCCGGGTGTTCTGGAAGTTTCCACAGTCAAGCTTTCGTAACTAGCACACCACTCCGCTGAATGTTTACAGAAACAATCCACTATAAATGCCATTCTGGACACTGTATTACATCCCCGCATAACAACATATACAGCACTCTAGTATAATCAGGCCTTTGTTCTTTGTTATCAACATATACAGCACTCTAGTATAATCAGGCCTTTGTTCTTTGTTATCAACATATACAGCACTCTAGTATAATCAGGCCTTTGTTCTTTGTTATCAACATATACAGCACTCTCTTTGTTATCAACTAGCACTCTAGTATAATCAGGCCTTTGTTCTTTGTTATCAACATATACAGCACTCTAGTATAATCAGGCCTTTGTTCTTTGTTAACAACATATACAGCACTCTAGTATAATCAGGCCTTTGTTCTTTGTTATCAACATATACAGCACTCTAGTATAATCAGGCCTTTGTTCTTTGTTATCAACATATACAGCACTCTAGTATAATCAGGCCTTTGTTCTTTGTTATCAACATATACAGCACTCTAGTATAATCATATACAGGCAGGCCTTTGTTCTTTGTTATCAACATATACAGCACTCTAGTATAATCAGGCCTTTGTTCTTTGTTATCAACATATACAGCACTCTAGTATAATCAGGCCTTTGTTCTTTGTTATCAACATATACAGCACTCTAGTATAATCAGGCCTTTGTTCTTTGTTATCCGAGTTCAAATCCCACTGGAGGTCACGCCCAAACCTTTGAACGACCACAGACATTACTTTTAGGACCATTGACCCAGTCAGAGAGCACATTTTAGGGTCTATACGGTATTAGTTTCAAACTGGCTGCTTTCATTCCAGACTAAGCTCGGATATATTTATATCGTTCTCATTAAAAAACTGTAACCTAAACAAACGAACATCCTTAAATGTCTAGTTGAAGTGAGATTATATGACATACTACCACGGGCTATGCAGAGTCACTTCCGTTCAAGTGTTTCTCCCATGGTAGCGAGAGATTGTGACAGATTCAGCTGTAACTGAGATGATTACTCATACAACGACTACTTGTACTATAGTCCGCGGAGTCATAATGCTAGTCAACTCAGATATCATGCCGACAACTTGTAAATACTCAGCCATGGAGTTATTACGAGATCACTGTCCCTCTTGGGTCACTGTCAAACATTCTAGTGATCAATGGGCAAATTTATGAATGGAATATGAGGAATACGACGTTTCGGAGTACATTGTATATTGTAACTGCTCCACCAATGACCACTAGGAAGCAGATAGATATGTATGTACATGTGAAACAAAACATATATTTGTATCTAAATACCCAAAGTACATTTGATTATGTTCAATCACAACCATGTATGTCTGCGCAAGTCTGATGTGTTTTAAATAGTATGCGCAATAAACGGGGGAAACATACGTGAATCATTTTCGCAAAATAGTCCCAGGAGTTGTCAATTGATTTAGCAATGCCCGAACCCAACAGCTAAAACGGCCACGAGATGGACACAAGTCGCTATTCGGAATACAAGGAGTTGGCCACGAATGAGATCTGCTGAGCTGTGAAAATATCATGTGTCCCTGCCAATTATACTACAGTGATAAGCGTCAAATAAAACAATCATGAACAATCAGTTGTAAAACAAATATTAGAAGAAACTTGAACATGTAAACAAAAATATCTTTGATCAAACGTGCAGTAAAAACCACAAACGTGATTATAAAACATTTCGATCATCATGTCAAGTTCAAATCCGATCTTGCAACATTAAACATCCTTTTTGTAACATTTCAAACGTAAATACCACGATTGGATTTCGGGCAAATTACGTCCCTAGTTCCCATTGCTTGGTATTAGAAGCCACATGCCTCGTGCGATCCTACGTCAAGCCGAGAGCGAGCGAAATCTAACCATTTAATCTTTAAACCAGTTTTTTTATGCACTAATGCAGAGGTTTCAACTAAAGGTAATAAATTTATTTTCTTTTGCAGAACAGCACAAATGAGACGACTACGAACGGGTCCGACGTCCCCACTGATGGCGCACACAGTGTCGTATTCACAGGAATTGTCATAGCAACGGCGACAATACTTGCTCGCATCGTCAATTAAGGTACGACTGACCATTTGTCTTGACATCAGACACAGAAAATAATCAAAACAATCGAATATCAGTTTAAATTTGACATAGTACTTCGGGCATGCTGTGGAATGAGACATCAGCTGTCCATGCCTCACTCGCCTCCGCGCTGGCGTGTAGGAAACAGAAACGACTGATCGGTGGGGTTCGTCTGTGTAAAGGCCACAGATGAAAGATGGCTGACATTAAGATGAAGGAATCTAAATCAAGTCGAGGCATGCGCAATTCTATGCTGTCTTCATGTAGCCGACTTGGCTTCTAAATTACTTTTGATACTGAATTCGGCGATGTAGAATCCAGTTTCCGGTGTACTTTTTGTCCGATGTACTGTACTTCCTCTCTTTAAAAGATCACATCACGTGCTCTGACGTCATGGCTGCTATTCCTGGATGGATATCGTCAGGGAAGATGATGTAGGCTATATGCTTCAGTTTGCCTCTAAAATCTTGTCATTGATTTGAATTTAATGCCTCTTTGAACGGTATTTCTATCTATCAGGCGTGTCAGCTTCACGTTGAAGGAAAGCTTGAAGGATTCAGGGTTTAAATGTTTAACGTTTTACTGAAACCAACGGGCACGCGTGTCGTGCAGAAAAAAGTTGAACAATATTCAGGTCAAATCTGGCATTCAAAGTAAAGGTCATAGGATTCTGGTGGCCCTATAGGACCTAATGCTGCACTAGTAACTGATACGGAAACCACACACGCACAGACGCACGAACGCACACACAGACGCATGTGGTATGCCAGAATAAATCAAAGTAAAACACAGTATCCTCATGACAACTGTTATGCCAAGTTTACAGACGGAAAAGTCTTTTGAAGGATCATAGAATCGTATTTCCTTTGACAGCAAACACTACGGGTCAAAAGAAAGTATACTCCTTCCTTTGACAGCAAACACTACGGGTCAAAAGAAGGTATACTCCCATGTTTGATGGTGGACAACAACGAAACGGAAACACTGTATACTATGGTGGATAACAACGAAACGGAAACACTGTATACCATGGTGGTGAATTTGTATCATTGGCAATATCACAGGCATCACATAGCTGATAGTCTCATGCCAGGTGGCATCCACATCATGTCTAAAGGAACATGTTGGAGGTGTGGACTGACTGACTGACTGAGTATGGTTTTACGCCGTTTTTAGAAATATTCCAGCAATATCACGGCGGGGGACACCAGAAATGGGCCTCACACAATGTACCCATGTGGGGATTCGAACCCGGGTCTTCGGCGTGACGAGCCAACGCTTTAACCACTAGGCTACCCCACCGCCCCCTACCCAGTAGAAGTTACTATTATGAACTAGTTATATGAACATACAATAATGTTCACATGTGTCATGGGGGCGGTGGGGTAGCCTAATGGTTAAAGCGTTGGCTCGTCACGCAGAAGACCCGGGCTCGATTCCACACATGGGTACAATGTGTGAAGCCAATTTCTGGTTTCCCCCACCGTGATGTTGCTGGAATATTGCTAAAAGTGGTGTAAAACCAAACTCAGTCAGTCAGTCAGTCACATATGTCATGTACATAGATAAGTAGTTGATGTATCATTAGGCATTCCCTGAATTCTAGAGATCTATTGATGTTCCCATCGATATGTGTATACAGCATAAAGGACTTTCAGTCGTTATTCATAACTTCTTGTTGGTGTAGCATGGTGAATACATGTCCAAATACCTCTATCTACGTCTTCACAGAGATTCTGACAGGAAATATGCCACAGGGTCGGCTGATTCTTTAAAATGGCTACAGAAGATCGCAGTCCTGTAGAAAAATCTTTGATTCAATATCCCATGTTGTCCAAGTACGTGATTTACCAGAAAACCAATATTCACTGCTGTTTCCTCCAATACCCCCACACTTCTTCACAGACAAGACATTTTTTGCAGTTAATAAAATTCAGTCGAGTTCCTTGGAAATTTGAACTTCCAACCCTTTTATTGATCGCCTCTATGTCGACATAATTGAACAGAGTGGAAATATGTATACACGGGAGATTTGAATTCAGTATCATTACATCGTATTTTAGTAATATGCAAGGCTGAAATGACAAACTCGTGGCAGTGCAAACAGGGACATACGTCATGAGCATGGAAGTCGGTACAAAGTTGCATCAGCTGTGATAAAGATAAATGTTAAAACGCTGGCGGCGGTGAGTAGATGGATTGGTGACACCAAGTTAACTCGTAAACGTAGGCTTTTGGATGGTGCTTCCATCTTCCGCTCGGAGACGAGGTTTATTGCATTACAGAGTGACTTCATTGGCTGTGGCGTTGCTCGGAAGGATGACATATTGCATAATTTAAGAAAGGAGCAAAACGTTTCACGCCGCATTTAGTAATGTGTCGGCAAAATGACGTCGGGGAACACCAGAAATGAGCCTCACACATTGCACCCACGTGGGGATCGAACCCGAACTTTCGGCGTGACGAGTGAACGCTGTAAAGCATAGGCACCCTCATCGACCCCAGCGTACAAACGATTTTTCATCACTTGCACGTTAGGACTTCAAAATGTCCAAATGCCTACTGTAGAGATTTTCATTCAGTTCTTTTGCTAATATTTGAATGTGAGCATGTGGCTACAGCATGTTTTGTCAGGGCATGAAAATACAGACAAAACCATATTGCAAGTTGATGTCTGGTGATCGACTTGTTCTTGATTTGAATTCCATTATGCCCAATTTACACTTTTTTCACTCATTGCAGCCACGGTTATGTTGTTTACATGTCGGAGTCCAGAGATCATAGGCTTGTTAGTCTGCTTCGTCCTTTGCATGTACTTATTCAATATCGTGTAGGTACACGGAAATGGTTGTTGGGAATACAAGGTTCTGGAGCTAACGTGGATCGTGTGCTCCCAATGGAGTTGAGAATACAATTTCACCCACGCTGATCAGAAGCGATGTAATAGTAATATATCACTATGAGAATACTTATGGTGTGGATATGGCGCAACATGAATAATTCATAATGATATAATTATTATCACACTTGTGACCACATTCGAGACGCCGTTCAGATTAAAGAAAGTAAAGTGGTGAAGAATGGTTTAACTATCTTCAGCTTTTTTTCACCCCTGTTGCGCGCTATTAAATTCTCGCGAGACATTCGAGTCTGTAACCATGTGTGGTTTATGCTCACTCGGCATATTTTTACTACATATTGTACGTTTTGTTTCATTCTGACACTGAAAAAGTCCAGATTAGCATTCAACTTTCATTTTCTAGAAATTGAGATGAGGTGAAGTGATATGGGGTTTAACGTTGCTTGGGGATTTTTGCACTTCAGTAGTGTCTTCATACTACGTGCATCTTAGGCAGCTTGTTTCAGCTGTACATGTACTGACGCCGGTTTTATAATGCTTGACTACAGAGATAGATGTCACAGATGAACAAGGCTACCCAACAGAGATACACGATTCTGATAATAAATATCGTATTGTGACGTCATTTCCTTTGACGGGGATCAACCTTCCGCTCACCGACTTCGGAACGACTGTCTATTAAGGAATCCATGAAGACAGTCCGAACTGGTAGGGACCATCTATACGCCGATCTTTCATGAATGCATCAGCTTAAAATCGGCTTATACACGTGACCTTTGCTCAATGTGAGGTAACATCTCTCTTACATCCATCATTGTCCGTTCGGTAAACAGTACCACTAAGACGTTAATACCGCTGTCCTGCTGCTCGGCAGCCGACTTCCAGTTGTACAGGAAGTGGGTCAGACCAGACGACAACCTTCCTGTATTGGGCGGATTCAGTGATAATGTTCCCCAGGTCCTTCATTGCCGTCATCCAACATGCTGTTCACAAGACACATTTTGAGAATATTATGTGATGGGAGAACAGCTACTGTAGTACAAAAATGAGCCAGTTCAGACTTAAAACAAGCTATCAAAGAGAAAACAGCAAAAACGCCAATGACATCCACATAGGATGCAATGACCTTCTCGGCATCATGTCTTTTATTGATATAGGGCAGCCATTGATCTTGGAGCTAGCAGCTGCCCGTCACATGTACTTATTAGTTTATGTAGGATTAGGTTCCCGACTCACTCACCTCTACTGGAGAACAGGCTGCCATGGACATGACAGTAAGGACAACATCGTCCACGGGTACCATCCCCTGATGTCATCAGTGCATCTATGTATGATTAGAAAGTTAGAAAAGATCATGTTGTTTGTGAGTAACCCATTCGCCTTTGTCTACTTGTGAACAAGGAGGAATGCTGTTTTACGCCCCAGTCAAGGAGCATGAGCATTATTCATGACATACTCAACCAGGTCATATTTATATATTGTATCTACTAGGGTTTCATTAATTTAGTTTTGGGGCAAACGTGAGGTACTGGGCCTTGTCCTGGCTGAGAACCCCTATGTAGATATTAAATTATCATAATTAGAAGGGATACGGTGTATGGAAGTCTTCTGTTGAAGCTGTAACGCTGAAATATCGCGACTGCGTGAGGGTGTACAGGGGTGATGGTTTAGGGTGTACGATATTTGATAATAGCAAAATGGACGCCTTGCAGCGATGCCTACACGTATAAAACAGCAACTTCCTGTACAAAACATCCTCCCAGGGTTTCAGTTAAAAGGTCACATCCAGTAAACCCGATGTGGGAGGGGAGCTTAAATTGATGCATTGTCCATGTGTAGGACGTGCAGCCAAGAAACAGTAAGACCTGATCTGGAATGTGTACTCACAATCATCAGATTCAGGGGCGGATACAGCTTTATTTTTATTTTATTTTATTTTTTCATGTTTTTATTCCCAGAATTATGTTTACAAACTTTACCTCAGTAGTACAGCGGATACAGCTTTATGACAAAAGGGGGTGCACACTTCATTTTCACCCGTTATCAATGGTCATTTAATAAACTTTCAGGACAAAAGGGGGGAGGGGGGTGCGCACCCCTACACACACACACACACACACACACACACACACACACACACACACACACACACACACACACACACACAAACACACCTCTGGATCCGCCCTCTGGGATGGCAAAGGGATGCAACTCAGCGTCTTCTGCGCCTGAGCTGGCTGAACCGCCTATGGCTTTCTTCCATATCGTAAATCACCGACCATTTGTCTTGAATTAGCCGTCACATTCATTGTACATAAAGTAAGACACGGCGCCTGGTAAACAAACATCTGGCACGTCATGTCGCGTTTATCGATTATCTCAGTATGTCCAAGAAGATAACTACACAACAGAGGTATCAAGTGGTAACGAGTATACCTGGCGTACAGACAGACAGTCATCACTGGTAATATTGCTCGTGTCAGTTCTCGCCAAGTGACGCGCCATGTGCGTTTGTGTCCTTTGTAGAGATGGGCGTCTCACTGAAGAGCTTCACCAACAGCTGAAGGGCACGAGGTTCGATCGTTTTGTTTCTGATGTAATGGTGCAGTTCTCTGCCAGATCGGGCTCTGCAAGGTTCACGGGGGGTTCTGGCGGGGTAGATGTGGTTTTCATTCGTTGTTAATGAACAACTGGGCAGTAACAGCTTAGGTGCATAACATTTACATGTATGAAGGATAGCTGTAGTGCATTGTCCTTCGGCACATGCCTCTGGCAACGGTTCATCATGTCAGACTAACCAGAACTGGAAATATTTCAGCATTTTTAGTTAAAATACGCAAAAATATAATGTTTATTGACGAAACGTCGGATTAGGAGTATCTGAACAATATCTTCGTAAACATTACTTCTGTCTGGGGTGGTGTCTGAAATACACATTAAAGGAAATCGAATTGATCAGCTCACAGTATTAGAGACATGTTTACATCTTCCACCTTTAAGACATCAGATAAAACTTAATAGAACGTTTTGTGCAAACAAATGTAGGATATAAAAGATGAAATCTTAATACAGGCACAGATGAGGCTTTATAGCTAAATTGCAAAACTCCATCATAATTAACCCACGTAATGTTCTCTTATCGTAATAATGTTACACACTAATACACAGTATGTGTTGTCTTCCCGCAAAAGATCTTCCAGATATGTGTTTTTTAGTAATTTGTTGGAAACATTATAGCATGACATATACCCTGCTGACCTTCAGTTGGTATGTAAGTTAATGGACAAATCTCTGGTCTCATGTGTACATCAGGACTTCAGCACACACTGCTGTATTACACAGCGCTTGTCACCCCGTGCATTACCATGTCATCATGTAAGTGCACTTGGACCGACTGTAGACTTTCTAATGCAAATCCAGTGATCTACAGTAGGGACATGAGGTGATGGATATTGGCTGGTAAAAAACACAAACCTTCATGCAGATGGGGTTAGGTTATCCCATGGAGGCCTGTTGTTGATGGTGATGGCGTTCTTAAATGTCAGCCATTTTGTCAGATATGGTGAACTTGCGTAAATGTTGGAGACCGAATTGTTCGTGAAGTCTCAATCGGATGTTTCCGTGACCATTCGACTCTTTTCGCGAATCCCTTCCCATTGTTTATCCCATTTTGTTATTAGTCCCCACGAATATATCAGTGATTATTTCATTAAGATGAAAGCTTTACTCTTTCATACACAATGCATTGATGGCTAGTCATTAAAGCCGCTAAGTTGGAGAGGGAGTTCTGTAATTACCATCTAGAGTCTGTTAGTATTCAAAACCTTCCATCAAATATAGTAATGGCAATGTCTCAGTTCGTCACATGGCACTAATCCCAACATCTATGCCTGAACTGAAGACGGTCTCCGCGGTTGAGATGGTTGAGTGTGTGTACCCGGAGAGCGGAAAAACAGTGGTTCGATCCCGCGTCCAACCAACAGACGTTAAAAAATGGTACTCTTTGTTACCCTGCCTGGCGCGCGGTATTCAGGGATAAAACAAACACTGGGTGCCATTCGCTGTATGGACGTAACAATCTTGCACACGACGTTAAACTCAATTTGACCTCACTGGACCTAATCTGGGTACCCGACAGTGGAAGGCAGCATTTACATAACAGAAACATGTAGCGGTGTTTGAATCAAACTTGCTACAGCAGCAGTTTGCCCGATGCTAGTCCCTTTAGGAGTGATGTTTATATCCACGCCATGGAGGCTACTTGTTTGTTGTTTTAGATGACGACGGACCGTGAACAATCAAACCTGGACTAGACGAAACACTGATTGATAAACTCGTGACTATACTCAAGCCAGGTCATCGTCCAGACCAACAAGCAAGGTTTGCAACAAGCAACTACAACCCGACATTTGAAACATAAAGTTGCTTTAACCTTTTGAAGTGAGCTTGCTAGAATTTGTTAGTGTGTGTGAGTGAATGTGTGAGTGCGTGTGTCCTGGCTCGTGTGCCTTATCCCCGTAAATGCTGAGCGACAGTCAGGTTACATTTACTTCTTCATTGAACGTCTGGTCGGAGAATCTCAGAAAGACATCACCTTTACCAATAAGTCGGGTACCGTGCCTTTACGTTTGATAACACTGAACAGATTTTAAATTTTCTCTGAATAACATTTTCGCTACTCGGGTGTTTTGATTCGATGTTATCAAAGCGTCACGAAACATACAGTTGCAACTTGAAACAATCCATGACTTTAAATGTCCAATATCTTCGTCAGATTTTTATCTACTGTGTTTATTATGACACATGATTACTCACGCAAGTAGACGATGAAAATCTCTCAACAAACATAGAGAGCATTGTTTATCTGGGAGGGTCAAAAGAGTAGTGAGTGAGTTTAGTTTTACGCTGCTTTTAGCAATATTCCAGCAAAATCACGGTGGGGGACACCAGAAATGGGCTTCACACATTGTACCCATGCGGGGAATCGATCCCGGATCTTCGGCGTGACGAACCAACGCTTTAACCAGTAGGCTAACCCACCGCCCCTTACCCTGTACCAGACAAACCAGTGATTCAAGCCTCAGCTGCAGAGTGCGATCATACAACACGTGTCTGCTGGTCTATTCCAACTTTAGTTCTAACCAATGTAGAAATATTACAGCCAAACCAAGTTTACTTCAAATTCAAAATGGTCACAACAGAAAATAATACATGACAGAAACAAAAGAAATGACACTGGCGACAAAGCCAGGACAATACCTGTTACCGTGACGAGCGAACGCTCTAACCACGAGGCTACCCCACCGCCCCACTAACTAGATGAAGCGTTACTTATATGTGTTGCAACATGTATGTGTTGAAGCAAACTCGCCCAATCTACAACAAATCACTAATTATGTGTTCTCTTTTTCAGAGTGCTTACAGGTGGTTTGTTGTGGAAGAATGCGGCTGCCATCTTGCTGTTCCATCCACTGCCACTCCCCTCTCTGCCATCCGGGTCCTACTGGCTCTTCTAGAGCCCACGGACATTCTCAGCTTCTCTCATTTCGGTATAAAGAAAGAAACATGACTCATTTCCATATCTGGTAGTCGTTCGATGTAAGAAAACTATCTGTAGCCAATCATTCATCAGTATGCAAACTGCGCATCCTTTGTATAAGTAATGTGATGTGTTTCAGTTTTATTTGTATGTATACATTTGCCGCATCCCATAACTATCTGGAATAAAACATTCCATTTGTATACTACACGTTTGTTGTCCTGATTTATGTGTGAATGTGTACTACACAGTTCCATGTTATTACTGAGCGGAGTTGCGTCCCTTAGGCCGATAGAATCATGACCGTTAGACGTTGTACAAGCTGATTCTAATACCGGTTACCCGGTTACCTGTGGGGTAAAGCCTGACATTATGCAAGGCTTGACGTTGATGACTTTGGTGAAACGTACCATCAATGTATGTGATGACAGACCAAGTATCATAACCTGAGATTCGACTCAATAGCACATTTTAAACAACTAAGGGAGTTAACTCTGCACAACGAATTGAGCACCTTTGAGGCCGGCCACCAAACCAATGCTGTCGATCTATAAATGTTTGCGCCTGGCCCCACACACTAATTATCAAGAGCATGGGCAAGCATTACTGCCGGGGTCAGGGGCTTGTTAGTTGTTTAAAGCTGCACACAACAACCTTCCAGCTGCCAAGTCAGGGAACACCTTAGCATTTGAACATTTTTCCAGTCAAATCGCCAGAGTTTGCCTTAATGTATGAGGAAAACCTGATTCATGCAGGTCTAAGATCTTTACCACTTTGTGAAACCCGAGAGCATGACAATAGTGCTGACCAAGCTTGAAATATAATTGAGGAGAACTGGATTCGATCCCACAATCACTGGTTTCTGGCATGCCCAAGTGACTTAACTATCGAGCCACCAGTGCCTCCCTTTTATCCTGTAGATCAAGAGGAGAGGAGTATGGGCTGCTGGACGTGAGAAGTGTATTAAAATGAATGGGAATGAATATTAACTGCATTTTAAAAACAAAATGCTCTATGATTTGAGATATTTCCTGTAATGACCTTACTGGCTTCCTATTCTAAAAACAAATGTATAAATCCATTAAAACACAAGGAAGAAGAACCGTTGACTAAGAGTTTATTTTTATCTCTGGGAACATCACACACATACCACATTCACACACACTACATGTAAATCACGGGCCTTGTGCTAAAGCTACCACTGGAGGTTCTGTGTCCAGATGATCAAGATTCAAACTTGGAAAGTTCACCTGCTGCTCAAACCACTGAGCTACTGACAACAGCTTCTGTTCCTGAAAATGATTCCCGATGAACTGAAGTCCAATTGGGAGCCCTTGTGTTGACAAACAGGCTGGGACGTTAACAGCCGGAATACCTGGAAGGGGAGACAACTCTGGTATCATCCAGGCACAAACATGGAACTTGTGAGGGGTCAATCCTTGAAGTTACAGGTGGGCGCTTTAGATACGTATTAGGGACAGGAATGTTTTGTTCACTGTTTCACTTATTGTCTGTACAACTATACTACCACTGTCATCTACCTGCCATGTTGGCTGTACAATAATAATAGGAATGGTATCAATATTAATAGTCCGCTTATATGGTGCTCATATCCAGCCACATTGCCTGCTCACGACGCTACGTACATTACTATCCCGGTCATAGGACACTATCATACTTTCCGATAATTTTTCAACTCCCTAGGGATCATACAGCCATGCTGCCTGTTAGGCGCAATGAACTAAACACTCACATTGCCAGCACATCCTCACGGGTACCCATTTTACAGCTGGGTGAACTGATACAATGTGGTTCAAAGTATCTTGTCCAAGGATACTATGCAAATGTGCCCACCTCGGGACCTGAACCTAGGTGCCTCCTTACCATTGCACGGTCGCACTCCAATTGGGGGGGCAAGATTAGGTGTGTTGTAAAATATGTTAAACAGGTAGGTCTTTAAAGTCCTTTTGAAAGTAAAGAGATTTTCAGTATTTTTCAAGTCAACATGCGGACATCCACAATTGTGTTGCATTGAAGGAAAAGGATCATTTGTACAACAAAACTAGCACCTACCTGCCATGTTGGCAGACTGAGTGTACACGTCATGCTGCTCCGTGCGAGTTCTGTTGTCCTCACATATGTAGTCACTGTATAGTGGAGCATCGGCAAGCGTTGTTGGAGTCAACAGGACATCCACGCCACTGGCGAACACCCTCCGGAAGTCATCACTGATGAGCCTCCTCACCCTCTGAGCCTTAATGAAGTAGTCCTCGTAGTTCCTGAAACCAGGCATTGTAACAGTAGCACCTTGAAGCTTCCTGTACGCTGGGCTTGTTTCTCCATCTCAGAACAAAGATATTCTATAGTTCTAAGGCCAAACATGATTTAGAGGATTTTAAACCCAGACAATAAATTTCTAATTAAACCTTTGACTGTATGCCAAAAGTGAGGAAGTGTTGCTATGAGCAACCTCCAAGCCTTATCACAGCAAGAGACAGAAAAACATTAGCTTGATATGCTGAACCCATGTGGGAATAAAACCCTTTCCATTGAGGTGACAGGGTGGTGGGGTAGCCTAGTAGTTAAAGTGTTCACTTGTCACATCGAAGACAGAGATTCAATTCCCCACAAGTACCAGAAACATTTCACTGACCCACAAAACATCACACCCATGCATAAGCCACACTTCAGTAAAGTGTACATCACAACAGAGCAATCAGTAAAGTATTCATAATAATAAAGCATACATCACAGTCAAACATACATCAGTCAAGCATGCATCACAGTCAAGCATACATCACAGTCAAGCATACATCACAGTCAAGCATACATCACAGTCAAGCATACATCACAGTCAAGCATACATCACAGTCAAAGCACACAGTCAAGCATACATCAGTCAAACATACATCAGTCAAGCATACATCACAGTCAAGCATACATCATCAGTCAAGCATACATCACAGTCAAGCATACATCACAGTCAAGCATACATCAGTCAAGCACATCATCAGTCAAGCATACATCGCAGTCAAGCATACATCAGTCAAGCATACATCAGTCAAGCATACATCAGTCAAGCATACATCACAGTCAAGCATACATCACAGCCAAGCATACATCACAGTCAAGCATACATCACAGTCAAGCATACATCACAGTCAAGCATACATCAGTCAAGCATACATCACAGTCAAGCATACATCAGTCAAGCATACATCAGTCAAGCATACATCACAGTCAAGCATACATCACAGTCAAGCATACATCACAGTCAAGCATACATCACAGTCAAGCATACATCAGTCAAGCATACATCAAGCATACATCACAGTCAAGCATACATCACAGTCAAGCATACATCACAGTCAAGCATACATCACAGTCAAGCATACATCACAGTCAAGCATGCATCACAGTCAAGCATACATCAGTCAAGCATACACATCAGTCAAGCATACATCAGTCAAACATAGCATGTCATACACACAACTGTCAAGCATACATCACAATCAAGCATACATCACAATCAAGCAAACATCACAGTCAAGCACATATCACAGTCAAGCATACATCACAGTCAAGGATACATCACAGTCAAACATACATCAGTCAAGCATACAAGCAAGCATACATCACAGTCAAGCATACATCAGTCAAGCATACATCACAGTCAAGCATACATCACATCAAGCATACATCAGTCAAGCATACATCACAGTCAAGCATACATCACAGTCAAGCATACATCACAGTCAAGCATACATCAGTCAAGCATACATCACAGTCAAGCATACATCAGTCAAGCATACAACTGTCAAGCATACATCACAGTCAAGCATACATCACAGTCAAGCATACATCACAATCAAGCAAACATCACAGTCAAGCACATATCACAGTCAAGCATACATCACAGTCAAGGATACATCACAGTCAAACATACATCAGTCAAGCATACATTACATCAGTCAAGCATACATCACAGTCAAGGAAACATCACAGTCAAGCATACATCACAGCCAAGCATACATCACAGTCAAGCATACATCACAGTCAAGGATACATCAGTCAAACATACATCAGTCAAGCATACATTACATTCAAGCATACATCACAGTCAAGCATAAACCTGTCAAGCATACATCACAGCCAAGCATACATCACAGTCAAGCATACATACATCAAGCATACATCACAGCAAACATCACTCAGTCAAGCATACATCACAGTCAAGCATACATCATCAAGGACACAGTCAAGCATACATCACAGTCAAGCATACATCACAGTCAAGCATACATCACAGTCAAGCATACATCACAGTCAAGCATACATCACAGTCAAGCATACATCACAGTCAAGGACACAACACAGTCAAGGATACATCATAGTCAAGCATACATCACAGTCAAGGATACATCACTGGCAAGGATACATCACAGTCAAGCATACATCACAGTCAAGCATACATCACAGTCAAGGACACATCACAGTCAAACATACATCAGTCAAGCATACATCACAGTCAAGCAAACATCACTGGCAAGGATACATCAGTCAAGCATACATCACAGTCAAGCATACATCACAGTCAAGGACACATCACAGTCAAACATACATCAGTCAAGCATACATCACAGTCAAGCATACATCACACTCAGTCAAGGAAACATCACAGTCAAGGATACATCACATTCAAGCATACAACACAGTCAAGGATACATCAGTCAAGGATACATCAGTCAAGCATACAACACAGTCAAGGATACATCAGTCAAGCATACATCAGTCAAGCATACATCCCAGTCAAACATATACCACAGTCAAGCATACATCAGTCACACATACATCACAGTAAAGGATACATCAGTCAAGCATACATCCCAGTCAAACATACATCAGTCAAGCATACATCAGTCAAACATATGTCACAGTCAAGCATACATCAGTCAAGCATACATCAGTCAAACATACACCTCATTTCATGTTACCTCTTCAGTAGAAACCAATTTCCATTGAGGATTCTTGACCTGACCACATAGTTGAAACCATCAGCGTCGACTTTGGGCATACAGTTCTTCAGTTGAATTATCTACAGGGGCTCGCAAACCTGCAACATTGTTTTGTGGAAGACAGAATATTTGGTCAGCGGTTTCAGACATTCAGTTCTTTTCACTGAATTCCCTGATACCAAAGGACATTACTCATAACATCAATCACTGGTTTGTGTGGCCCAGCCTCAATTATTCCCAGAATAATGAGGACTGTATCTCAAGAATCTAAACAGAGTAAAACCACCATTATCAGCAACTGGGACATATTGACAGTATGTGACACTTGATACCAAACTACAAATGAAGATCCTGCACTATTGAAACGGGAATAAGCAGTGATGCTTTACAATCACATCATCAAAAATGTTAAGCAACATTTAATATTAACTCACATATGTCGCTATTCAGAACTTGATGGCCAATTATTTCTCAGGTGAATATTTGTCTACATTTAAAAGTGAAAGGATGTTGTGACTATTTCTTTTATCTTAAGGGTGTCAGGATGGCCGTTGGTCTTCAGTGAGTGAGTGAGTTTAGTTTTACACTCATTCACTGAAGACCAGCGACGTGCATCAACTTTTACCAAGATACATTCCAGTTGAAGGAAGAAGTTTGTGGGCATTCTGCCTTCTTGGACTCACTTGTAAAATACTGCACCAAAATCACATTACTATAGGTAACAAAATCACTAGCCATCTTTACAGTTTTATATTAAAATATATTATCAGTATTCAATTATTGGTTAAATACATAGCCACAGATAAATGATATGTTCATCTTTAAGGAAACACCTCACTTTCTGAATGTTTCTGTGCTTATATATTTCATTATCTGAGTTTCTGCAGCAACATTCCACTGATTTCATGAGTGAGTGAGTGGTTTTATGCTGCTTTTAGCAATATTCTAACAATATCATGGTGGGGGACTCTAGAAATGGGCTTCACACACTGTACCCATGTAGGGAATCGAACCCGGGTCTTCAGAGTGATGAGCGGACGCTTTAACAACTAGGGTACCCCACTGCCCCACTGACTGCATGAACTATGGTTAGAATACAGAAACGCCAATGTTCAAAGAATGTTATGGCACTACTCTCCACGTTTCACATTTTGCTGTAAGCATTACATGACCTGTTGTAAACTAGGACTAAATCCACATTTGCTTTGACACAACGCCCTGTCTTTGACAAAATGACATGTCTATGATTCTTGTCTACATTTTGTTTGGAGATTGTAACTACGTTGTTAACAGTACGCCCATCCACGACAGTTCAAGTTTTGCAGTGATCACAAAAATAAGTACAAGCAGTCATCTTTAATCATCTCAGCCTTGTTCCAAGCTTGAAGATCAAATTATCAAATATTCCTTGAACCCATTCACTACTGTTGCAAGATTTCTATCTCTCTTATAAATTTGACACAGATATTCTGCTATCTCATGCGCTTGAAACCAACACCTAATGTAAATGCTCTTCCAAACATGCATCAACATTCAACATGGCACCCTCTTGTCACTGAGCTTTCTGTATATTCCATCAAATCTAATCTCAGGGAAAGTTGGAAAAGCTGCTTTTCAGAATAATAAGATATGGGGAGAAGTTTCTTTAAATGTTCAAACTTCTATTCCAAACAGAACACAACAAGGCTAATTGAGTACTAGCCATATTGATACTTGTTTCAATTATGAAATAACAGCGTAATATTTCATTTGAACCAAACTCATTTATACCAGAATGATGGCAACTGGATTGAGTTTGGGTATCACAACAGAGGACAGACTAGTTCCAGCAACAGATATTACCATATTCTATCCCGTCGTAGCGAGCCATGTTGGAGGCCACCTCAGAGCAGCAGAGGACGTTGTAGCAGATGATGGAGTACTGTGTGTGGGGGAGCGACACCTCCGTCACTCGGGCACCCCCCTTCTCAAACATGTCAGCTGCCCGTTGCCATGCCAACACTACATCTGGTGAAGTGCCGGGGGCGAAATACTCCTAGAAAACACAGAAACAAACTGATGGAACAGGCAGAGCTTCACTGATTGTGAGGGTTAATAAGCATATGGGGAAAAAGCTGAGGTTTCAACACTGCAAGGAGAGGTGCATTCTCTTCCAACAGAGGGTGTAGCACAGAGGTTGAAGCATTCCCTCGTCACAAGGGCCCAAGTGCAATTCACCACATGGGTACAATAAGCCCATTTCTGGTGTCCCCCACCATGATATTGATGGAATATTGCTAAAAGTGGTGTAAAACCATACTCACTCCTCACTCACTCACTCATCACACTAAAAAGTCGAATCATCTACACACATATAAGACCTATAATGAACTAACATGACTTTTTCAAAATGGTTGCCATGGTTTTGATGCAGTGCTTCAATTAGGATAAGATTATTTTGACACAACTGCTGAGATGACATGCAAAACTCTAGCTTAGTAAACCCAGAGGTTTATGAGATTTCAAAATGCATTAACACTAAGTAAATAGGTAGGCCATAGATTTCTGTTAAAACGTTTTACTTACCTTTGGAACACCAACATGTAGGCCCTTGACTGAGAACTCACTGGACAGAGAGACCGAGTCAAAGTGGTCAGGTACAGTGGTGGAGTCATGGAAGTCATGTCCAGCAACTACATCTACAACAAGGATAAACACGGCGACTGTTGTAATCACAGGATTCAAAAGTACTTACTGTATACAGAAAAATATCTTCTTGGGCCATAGTATTTAAATTAGTTTATGTAATGTTTATCCCAACATTGTATCAGTACACAAAATGGGAAACACTGATGAATAGGTCTTGATACTTGCCATTATTTACCAGCCTACATGACAATAAAACATTTATAACACTGGTAAAAAAATAAGAAAAATTTAAAGATATACGAATGAGAAATCGGATAAACATGGTTGCAGATTGATTGACATGATTAAAATCTTTAACATTCCATTTCACATTCATTCACAGCTTATTGGCTGGTTATTCTTTAATTCCTCCAAGGTACAATGACACAATCCCTTCCATGAGATATTGACAGTTACAGAGTTACATTACTGCATGCCAGTCAGCAACACTCCAGCTGAGATTAATCCAACCTAGGTCAGATACACCTGACAGTGACATATCAGCTACAATCACACATAACCAGCATAAGCACACTCACTCATTCATTCACACACTGTCAGTCAGTGTAGACAGGCATGTAGGGAGTTACAGGATATGAAACAAACAATGCATGAATTAACAGCTTAACATATATTTTCTTTCTGATGCAAGAAAGTCCACAAGTACTTGTAAACTGCAACTAGACTTTAATATCGTCTGGTGGATACTCTTGCCTTGGGACGAGGAATATGAAGACACAAGCATATCACGACATCAGACATATATGTCCCGTACTTAAAACAGTGGCTGTATCCTCCACCGTCCTGGTGATGATGCCCGGGACATCCATGGAGTTGACCAGGGGGATGAGGCCGTGTCTAGACAGCAGACCATACGTTGGCTTCAGTCCCACCACACCACAGTAGGAGGCCGGGTTACGTGTCGAACCTCCAGTGTCGGAACCAAAGGCGCTGGATAATATATGATACATTATCAGAGTCAAAAGTAAACACACTTGACAAACTTGATCTTCTACTCTGATTTACTAAAACACAATATAGGGAAAACATCTCAGCATTAGATTACTGTGATAAACTGCTTGTAGGTTTCAACAAAGCTCAGCTTTAAAAACTGAGTTCAAAATACAGCAGCTCACACTGTTTCTTTAAAATCCAAGTCAGATCACATAACTCTATTCTCAAATCAATACTTTGTATTCCTGTAGTATCTCATATTGACTTTAAGGGCGGTGGCGTAGCCTTACAGTGGTTAAAGCGTTGGCTCGTCACGCTGAGGACCCGGGATTCCCCACATGGGCACTTGTGTCCCCTGAGGATATTGCTGGAATATTGCTAAAAGCGTAAAACTAAACTCAACAGTCATAACTTTAAGCATGGGGAGGATGAGAGGAGATAGAGAAAGAACACATAATGCAGACATTTAGCATACTTCAGTGGCGACAGGATTATATTCTGAGTAGACTGGTCAAAGGGAGATAATCCAACTCCCATACGTCACATGGGAGACCATCAAGTGCCAGTCTTGCATTACAACCTCAAGACATAATATCAAGTACAACTAAGGGAGGCAACTTGTTCAAATATACTGTGGTCCTAAGACAACTGTCCAATATTACGTTTAAATGCCTGTTTGCAATTCCTTCAAACAATGTTTTATAACATTTATATCCAACCATTTTCAAACCCATATGTGTTTTATCCTGCCATGGAAAAACAAACAGTTCATTCATAAGAATATGTCCCTCATGTATTTATGAGAAGGATATTCTGAACACCAATAATATTTCAAAAGAATTTCTGAAATTTATTTGATTTGACGTACGCATAACAAGCTCCAACAGCAACTGACACAGCACTGCCTCCAGAACTCCCTCCAGCTATGTGCCAGTCAGGGGAGGAGGAACTGGTCACATGGTCAGAGTGTTGTGATTGGTCATTCCTTCTGTCAGGTCCCTCCTTGCCATGCCTCTTCCTGAACTTGTACCTCCATGGGTTGATGGTTGGTCCAGCCACGCTGTCCACACTTGCTGACCTGACAGAGTTGACGAGTGAGTAAAGTGGAGAAAGATGATAATTTTGATTAAAATGAACACATTAAAAACATGTGAAGACTGAAACTCAGTTTCAAGGTTATAATGAGTCCCTGGCTAGATGGAAATTTTGCCAAGTTCAAACAAACACTGAGCACATAATGAGAAAGTTGCATTAGAATATAGAAATAGAGTGGTAACACCTGACTGGTCATGTCCAAGTTGCTGTAGCTGTCATGTCAGAATACAGGTCAGAAAATTAATGTCAGGATGCTAAGTATGTTTTGAGTGACATGCACTATATTTTGTAGAACTAATGATGGTAGTGGAGTGTCCCTGGAGAGAAGCTAAAACTTGTATTACCCCATGGCGAACTCGTCCATGTTGGCTTTACCGATGATGACAGCCCCTGCTGATGCTGTTCGCTCCACCATTGTAGCATTGTACGGTGGAGAAAAGTTGGACAACATCCGAGATCCACATGTTGTAGGGATATCCTTGGTACAAAAATTGTCTTTGAACACCATTGGCACACCCTCTAAGTTACGAAGGGGCAGGTCTGAAAGTATGTATATGAATATAAAATATATCATAATATATGTTAAGTATAAGCACAAGATCAAACCCTGGTTCAACTACAAGATTCTGCAAAATGGTGGAGCATAATTTACAACTATATACCTGCAATATTAAGATTATTCATTACAGGTCTCCGAAATTCTAAACTTTAAAGCCTGTGCAAACCCTACAACTGGAATGTATAGCGTAAATTATATTTGATCCAGTTCATTTGATTACGCTTGTACTTTTGTTCAATCTTTTGTCCGAGTCTGCAGCAGACGTCTGTGCCAGTTCCGTGGTTTCTTTAATGAGGAAGTTGAGCTCCCGTGCATGGCGTGATCGTTCCAGGCATTTTTCACATAACTCTTTAGCAGAGATCCTTCCATCTTTCAAATGGGTGAGAATCTGGAAAATGTTAACAAGTTGTTTTTGTTGCATGGAACAAATGGACACGAGAGATGTCAGGCAGCTGTCTGTAAGGACCTGAGCTCCAATATAATGCATAGCCTGACACTACACATGTCATATGACATGTTCACCAGTATGATAGGTGTGATAACATTAATATCCCTATTCACTGAATAGGCTGAATAATTCAGTACTTTTAGTCCATGAGTTGCTGACGTTTCAGGGTTGTGCAGCCAGGTGACAGTTATTAAATATATATGAAAGATGTCTGCAAGTGAAAGTTACTGAAACACAACCCTGATACATGTCTGATGACATTACAGGGGTTGTAAACTGATTTATTGTGATACACGGTTCGCAATCCTGCCTTCCTTCTCTGTCTGAATAGCACAACATGTGTACCTAACATACCATCACATCCAGTTACTCCCACCTCATACCAACACATCCAGTTACTCCCACCTTACATTTTGTATAAACTCACGATGATTACACTGGCCCATGCATGCTAACTATACGTATGGATATTTTTACAGAGCCAGGGAAGTAAAAAGTCGAACCAACGTTCGGAACAATTTGTTCAAAATGACAAGTGACATGAAAATTTTAATACTTTCCGAGGGGAAATCTAATCGTAAAGCACGAATTGAAAGGATAATATTGGGTTTAATACTGTAGATATCTGATAAAGTTATGAAAAATGACATTGCAAACCTCTCTGATCGTCAATGACAGCATGGTTCCGGTTTAGGTCAGAGGTCACATTAAGCTCCCTTCAGCGATAGTGCAACGTTCTTAAATAGAGCAAGTTATTAGCGCTGTGTGGAGCTTGTAGCTAAATGCCGGAGGGAAGAGAGTTTTTTTCAGTGAGGCTGATCGCCATGAAATAGATATATTTTAACGACACACAGAGGGAACCAAATAATGGAGCACATGAAAGTACAAATGTTCATTGATTCAGTCAGGTACCATCGCAAACCTTGTATTGTTCTGTGAGTGAAAATCTGAGAATAAATATTGGGATAATAACAGTGCGATGATGTGGGGTTCCATATTTGTTCCACACGGTATATATAGGGAAACAAACGCCGTTTTGTGTGAACACTTTCTATCTCGTATACTTTATGTTAATATGTGCATATACACTAAAAATATTGTGCAACGTTACTGGCGGGGTATAAGTGACGATGAATGTAGTGATCAATATTGCAGTCCAAGAGACTGCCCCACTGAGGTTAGCCTACAACATCATTCCCCGCACCAAACAGACGTCACCCTGAACAAAACGGAAAACTACACGAATACTAGTCCACTCAAATAATGACGGGATGCAACATGTGTAACAGAAATAGCCAATGAATACACTTCCCAGAAAGACCTAGCTGTCAAAGTTGCTTTTGTTGGTATTTTTCGGGTGCTGTAACTTGGGCTCGACAGAGTGAGTGACTAAGGTTTTACGCCGCTTTTAGCACTATTCCAGTAATATTGCGGCGGGGAAATAGGTTTTAGTAATTATACCCGTGCGGAGGACTGAACCCGGCAGTTTGACGTGGCCAGCAGTTGCTTTGGTCACTATAAGCTTCCTCATCGCCCGGTGTTTGGCAAAGGTTTTTTTCAGCTTCAGTCCATATTAGTGTCAATAACATTCTACAAGCTGGAACAACATTTTTCAATCTACAACAGCAGTCTACCATTTGCAACATCATTCTAAAATCAATTGCGAGGACCTACCATCTGCAACTGCGTTCTACTATCACTTTCAGTACAAAACATTCAATTCAAGTCAAGAGTAACAGCATCATGTTTGTCACACTTACTGAGATCGTGGGGCAATAAATCTGCCAGCTAGGACTACTCGACTGTCACATTACAAGAAACACAATGCTGTTGAGTCTGAGCGAGTGAGTGAGTGTTCCATCCGGGATTCGAACCCACACCCTCAGAGTCAGGCGCCTAATGGCCAGCACACAAAGTCAGCCGCCTAACCCATGCACTCAGCCACCGCGACTTCCACAAAAAGATTAGGTGCGAGTAGGTGCCTGACTCTCAGGGTGTGGGTTCGAATCCCGGATGGGACTCAACCCAACAAAAAGTACTAGAATCTGTACTGAGAAAGTGTAATCCCAAATATAACGTATGTTACATTCGACCACTTTCTAAATGGCATTGTGTATTCAAAGGTAGATATGGTAAAATGACTTCCAAAGAAACAGTAACATTGCCAGTTATAAACCAACTGCGTAATTCGGAGTAATTAAGTCTTCTTTGTTTCACGCACGCACATTTAGATAATTAGTCTGGCAAGTCCAGATTATTCTTAAGTTCTGAATTACCACCACACTGGGCTCCTTTACTTTCTAAATGTAGTTCTAGTTTTCTGCCTAAAGTACATTTGCTACGATCCTATAGTCTGTTTGCAGTGAAAACGTACCGATGAATTTCACTTTAAACAAAAAAGTAAATCAAATAAAGTGAAATTAAGACTGCGAATCCTCATAAATTTGCCTTGCCAACTGAACATTTAAATCTCAGAATTTTATTCATTGTAGGACAAAAGGTTTTTAACAAACGACCATAGATTCAAATCGCTATTATTGGTTTGTATTACAAGGGGGTGAGCGCAGTAGATGGAACTGATGAAACAAATGCACGTGCGGTTTGTGATGAGCGTTAACTTAGACCAACTCTACTTGTCCTCGGTGTTTCATTTAATGTGCATACACCCTTGTAATACAAATCAATAATAGCGATTTGAAACTATGATCGTTTGTTAAACAACATTTATCCCAAGTTGAATAAAATTCTGAGATTTAAATGGTCAGTTGGCAAGGTAAAATTATGAGGATTCGCAATCTTAATTTCATCTTATTCGATTTACTTTTTTGTTTAAATTGACATTCATCGGTACGTTTTCACTGCAAACAGACAATAAGCGTTGGTATAGTGGGATATCCCTAATTGTTATTCCGTTCACAACGTGAATTTCGTGCAAACAGGCTAAATTTGTGAAAGCGTTATTCATGATGTGTACGTAAACACGAAAACATGAAACGTGTCAGTGTGTTGCTTACATTTCTCTGATACAATCCAAACTGAACATTGTCGATATATTATTGCCGTGATATTGTTTCAAAGTCCGTGAAACGTCCGGGACATGAGGCATCTACCATGTCATAAAGGCTTAATTATGTGCAGTTGGCATGCCGGAAGTTGGAACAAGACATTGTACACGGAATGGCCGTTTTCATCATCACACACACACACACTCGCACGCTCGCACGGAAGACGTGAACATCAGTTCATGTCAAGTGTGGCTGAAGGGGTCGATATCGGCACAGGTAGTACAGATATGTACCCCAGATACGTTTCTGTATACAGACATGTACCCTAAGCAAAGACAAACTACAGAAGCGTACCCGGTACCCTAAACGACGGACGAGTCCATATTCTGCAACCCAAAACCAAAAGCGTATGTATGTTCAGCTGATTGTGAGTGATGTACGTTGTGCACCGTGAAATATTCGTTACTGTGTGTGCTCTTTTATAACGCAATCAAATGCAACTAATACAACAGTATGACAGTTCCGATCAAGAAAACTCCACAATGCAGAATGGAGTCGTCCAAGGGTGCGTTTCTGTATTCTGATTTTGGCTAGGGTTCATATCTGTATACAGAAACGTACATCTGTAGTACCCGTGCCGACAACGACCCCTTCAGCTTCACTGGTCGGGCGAAAGTCGATTTCTTTTGTTAATGACTGATGGCCACGTGTGCATGTTTGGCGCCTCAAAACCACAGCACATGCGTAACGGAAGATCACTGATGGTGTCGGTGTGTCCCTCGCATGACTGTAAACTTGACTGAATGGACAACTGTAGATCACTGTCTCCCTAGACAGGGTTGTTGTACCACCAGGGGCGTAGCTGCCATTATAAAAAAATCCCGGGTTTACACATGATTGTTGCTGAAAAGGTTGGGCAAGTTCTCAATACTATCTAAACTAAAAGCTTTGCAACCTATCGGGCTTACACGAAACAATAGGCTTGCTACGCGCCTGACCACATTTTGATGACCATCGTCTGACTACATGGCTAGTCTTCATAGACGGCAATGCTAGGCCATATCGTGCATATAGACATGAATTCTTATGTCAGGAGCATTATCACCAATTTCAGTCTATGTCAAACTTGTTGCCATGGAAACGCCAAAAATATTTTATTCAGAAATCCAAAACTACCAAAAGGCACCAGTACACCACCAGATCTATGTATGTGCCAAGTTTGGTGAAGAAACATTAAACGGTGTTAGAGTTCAGCTCCAGAAAAGAGCACTACCACCAATTACAGTCTAAGTCAAACTTGTTGCCATGGAAACGCCAAAAATATTTTATTCAGAATTCCAAAACTACCAAAAGGCACAAGTACACCACCAGATCTATCCATGTGCCAAGTTTGGTGAAGAAATATTGAACGGTTTTAGAGTTCTGCTCCGGAAAAGACAAATGTGCACGGACGGAGTCCATTTTAATACCCCCCGCAAAACGCGTTGCGGGGAATAATTAATGAGGATGAGGGTCGGGGATGTTATTGCACCTTGCCCTCGCTCGGGCAATACAAAATATCACACTCGTGTGGTATACGTGGTATGACACACTTGCACGTGTAATAATCTCTCTCTCTCTCTCTCTCTCTCTCTCTCTCTCTCTCTCTCTCTCTCTCTCTCTCTCTCTCTCTCTCTCTCTCTCTCTCTCTCTCTCTCTCTCTCTCTCTCTCTCTCTCTCTCTCTCTCATATATATACATACACACATACATATGGTTTGTTATAATAAAAGTCACACAATGGCTGAAATATCACCGACATGACTTTACTACACTATAAATCACTTACTTTTACAAACAGGTGCAACTAACCATTAAAATTCGCCAGTTTTACATCGGATGATCTGAATCAAGCAGTGATTGCTGATATGCATATTACCGTTTACATCGTGATCGTGACCAGCCTCACCCTGGTCGTGTAGTATGTGACGGGAGTATTAACGTTATAGTCGGCGCCATGTTGTGACACTCATCTAGAGGCGTTCTGCACGGCAGTGCAACCGAATACACCGGCATGGCCCCACTCTCCACCCTGCACCAGCTAGAGATGGTTTCACATTTATCAGTGGACACCAGCAGTTTTCAGGGTAAGGATCGATTCGCTTATTCCGTGTGTTATATTTACCTTTGCGGGGATACTAGGTTTCATTGTCCGCTAGGTGTCGACAGTAGTGTTGAAAATTATACTCATTTAAACAAGCATGGGAACATCCGAGGTTTGGGCCACAGAAAAAAACATTCAGTCAGCAGAAAACGGCAAATTTAATAGAATTCACCCAAGGTGATCGTTCTTTGACCCGCCATGGGTCTGGAGCCTGTGCCTCAGACTCTGCATAACAGATGGCGCTCTTGTGCAGCCGTCCGGCAACGTCCCCAGCAGCTATGTAGCCAGGCGATGCCCATTCCTCCTTCCGCCTAGTAAACAGTTGTATGGGTACCATGGTGGTGGACCAGTACACTGCCAGGAGTGTCCACCTTTATTCCCTTGTATCAGCATATCCACAATCAAGGAGTGTCCACCTTTATTCCCTTGTATCAGCATATCCACAATCAAGGAGTGTCCACCTTTATTCCCTTGTATCAGCATATCCACAATCAAGGAGTGTCCACCTTTATTCCCTTGTATCAGCATATCCACAATCAAGGAGTGTCCACCTTTATTCCCTTGTATCAGCATATCCACAATCAAGGAGTGTCCACCTTTATTCCCTTGTATCAG